AAAAAAAAAAAAAGAATCATCAATTTTCCTGTCCAGGCCGGCTTCGAACTAAGATCCTCACATCTCACCATCATGAGTTGCTAGGATTACAGGCATGAACCGCTGGAGCCCAGCTTCATTCCCAGCCCCAGTAGCTGTTTTTAAACTACACAGTTTGGGTGATATTAAGCAGAGAATCTCCAGAACTCTTTCCATTTTGCAATACTGAAACTTTGTTCCCATTTAACAACTTCAAGTCTCCCTCCCCTCCCCCAATCAGCAGCAATTCTCCTTTTGTCTATGAATTCTATACTTTATGATACTTCAGATACTTCTTAAAAGTGGGATCGTACACTGTTTTCTTGTGACCGGCTCATTACGGGAGTGCTATGCTTATGCATATGGTAGCATGTAAGCAAACTCCTTTTGCTTCTCTAAGCTTGAGTAATATTTCACTTTATGTATTGTCTCATTTTATGAAGAGACATTTCGGTTGCTTCTGCTGTGTGGCTAACTAACGCCACTATAAACATGTGTGTTCACAATACACGTGCAAGTTTCTCTTGACCATATGGATTCCATTACTTGTCCATATACCCCAAAGGAAGATTACTGAGATTCCTAGCATCAAACACACACAAAACACACAATCTAGATGATGAGCCTAAGCAGCAAAGCCGAACTTCTCAGGCCTTACTGTGCCCTGTTCCAGCCAGGAGGTTTGCCCTCAGGAGGCAGCGCCCCATCAGAGCGCCCAGCCCTCGCACGCACAGCTGTTTCTCCCACTTGTTCTCCACTCCCACATTCTAGTGGTTCATGACAGATGTCGCAGATGGGGACGTCGCTCCTCTTCCCTGCTCACAGAAGTGAAAACAGGGCTCAGTAAGCCTGGAGTCGTGTCAGCAGGAGAACAAGCCCATGCTGCTACTGAGGCTGTCACCAGGGCGGGGCTTCTGGCGGGCCAACCACGTGGGCACTTTGCCAGTGTCCACTGCCTTAGTCCTGATAGCCCTGTTGGGCAGGAACTGGCAATCTCCCATTCTACAGGCGATCCTTGAAGCAAAAGAGATGGAATCACCTGCCCAGGGTCCAACAGCCAGGCAGAGGCAGATCTAACCTGATGATGCCTCCTCACCAGGCTCTGCTCCTCATGCTCAGGGCCATGTGAAGTGTGTTTGAGGGACAGGAGGGGAAATGAAGCCCATGGGGCCATGACTCGTCTTAGAAGAACGATTGGTCTCCCTGAATTCCCATGCCCCCTCCTGCTACCCAGGCCTGTCGCCGTCACGCTCAGTCCATTTCTTGGGCTGGGGTGCAGCTCAGTGGTAGGGTGCTCGCCTGGAGTGGCGTGGAGGCTCTGGAAGAACCGCCGGGCTTCCTAAGCAGCTGCCTCACCCCTGTGTGGTTCCGCCTCCGTGCCCTGGATGGTAACAGCCACCACGTGAGACAGAGACCACACGTTTATTTCCGTGTACGTGTCACAAGCACCCTTGCAGCCTCCTGTATGTGCTCTGTCCTCGCTGAGGAATGCAATGCCGCTGCGATGGAAGTTTCCAGAACTGCATTACTTCCTCTCAGATTGTGAGAGACTCCAAACTGAGGCAGGCACAGAGTGACACCCAAAGGTAGACGGCCACCTGGTCCCATCCACGGGCTCCACCCCTGGGATTTAGATAAGGCGTGACCACTGGATTCTGGCTGAAGGGAGAGGACCCGTTTCCTCAACCTAAAAGCAAAGGCATGGAGAACGCTATCCAGATGTCAGCACGGGTGTGAACAGCAAAGGCACCAAACGAACTAACACGCCTCTCACAGAAAGAGGACTACTACCTTAGAATTTGAGGGGAAGGGGACAGGAACACTCAGTCACCCCAAATCTCGAAGATGGCTTTGGCCAATCACATTGCTTTCTTTCCTTTCTCATAAGGAGCGCACTCTGCTCCTGATGAGTCTTGTCATCTTTGGTGTTCAGTGAGCATATATATGTTGGCATCCACTCTGCATGAGAAAAAATGGCGCTCCCAGCACAGGGAAATATGTCCTTTGTCAAATATTGTAACACACGGATGTGCCCAAGACAGGAGAGGAAGGAGCAGATACACCAGGAATATGCATCAGTAGGCCAGGCCTGATCCTCTACACTCAGGAGGCTGAGGCAGCAAGATTGAGAGTTCAAGGCCAACATGAGATGTAGCAAGACCATGTCTGAAAAATGAAAGGGAAAAAAAGATGCATCCCAGTGTGGGTACACCATGCTGCATTCTGTGGAAGAGTAATCAAAGATTGCCCATATGAATTCGATTGCTGTTGCTGCTCATGGGAGACAAATGCAGCTGGTTCTAGCAAGGAGACTGGTGTTCATTACCCAAACTCCCCTTATCTCCAGCACACGGAACAGTTGCCAGAGGAGGTGAGAGGCCTCAAGGTCTCTCGCGTTAGCCTGCTGCTCAGGGCCAGATGTTCAGGTCGCAGCGCTGTGCTTTGTGACAGGGCCCTGTAGCCAGCTGCGCCTGTGGCCAGCAAGTCACCACGGACAGATTCAAGTCATACTTGTATTTGAATTACAGGAAAGACTACTTGCCAAGTACATGGGGCATTATTTAAAACTTATATGTCATTTAAGATGCAAACAATGAACTGAAATAATTGCTGTGTGCCTGGAGAGTTCTGTTCCACCTCCAAGTTTATTTATTGATCCCTTCTCTTTAAATATTTCATGGGTGGCTGAATACATCACACTGGTAATCACAGCATGATCACACGTATATCACACATAGGACTTTATCTCTGTGGCCTTAGAGGCAAAAAAGCATACTATTTTTTTTTTATTCAGCATATCCTGATGCATACCAATGCATCGTTTTGTGGGGGACTGAAGGAGTAATGTGTCTAGCACCTTGGGGTCACTGGTAATTGGGGGTCAGCATGGATAGAACGGGTTATGTAGCATTCTCACCGCTGGGTTGCCAGTTCTGCTTGCTTTATCTTATCTCCAAAGGAGCAGGACCTCACTGCTTTATAGAACCTTTGTCATCTTTCTTCCCTGCAGCTTCATATTTGAACTCTGGTAATCTGATAATCTCTTTATCTGATTCATTTTTTTATGACCATAAATAATTTTAAAGTTTAAGTAAACATCAAGCATGGTGACTTGTGCCTGTAATCCCCACTATTCAGGAGGAAATATTGCAGTCCAAGGCCGGTCTGAGCAAAAAGTTAGACTTACATCTCAGGAAATAAGCTGGTTATGGTGATCCATGCCTGTGGACCTAGCCACGAAAGATGCCGTAAGGGAAGTAGTACTGTGGCTCGAGGGGTAGAGCACTGGCCTTGAGCTGAAGAATGCAGGGACAGCGCCCAAGCCCAGAGTTCAAGCCCCAGGACTGACCAAAAAAAAAAAAGAAAGAAAGATGCTGTAGGTAGATGGATTGTGGCCCAGACGAGCCATGAGTGAAAGCTTAAAAAATAACTAAAAAAGGGGGTGTAGCTCTAGTGATTGGGAAGCCTATGTTCAAACTCTAGTGATGCAAAAAGGAAGGGAGAGAAGGAGGGAGGGAGGGAAGGAGGAAGGATGGAAGGAAGGAAGGAAGGAAGGAAGGAAGGAAGGAAGGAAGGGCTCTTTAGGGATTTATAGGTTAGTATTTATTCCTCTGGAAAGCAATTCTTTGTAATACTAGCTACCAGGACAGTGAGATGTGAAGATCACGGTTCGAAGCCAGCCCAAGCACAAAAATCCACGAGACTCTTATCTCCAATTAACCACGAAGAAAGTAAAGTGAGGTAGGCACTGGTGGCTCACACCTGTAAGCCTAGTTACTCAGGAGGCTGATCTGAGGATCACAACAGTTCAAAGCCAGCCAAGGTAGGAAAGTCCATGAGACTCTTATCTCCAGTTAACCACCAAAGAACTGGAAGTATGGTTCAAAATGGTAAAGCACTAGTGTTGAGCCCAAAAGCTCAGAGACAGTGCCCAGGCCCTGAGTTCAAGCCCTACAACCAACCAAAAAAAAAAAATCTGCATTCTGGAAGAATGTTTCGTTGGAAAATAGATTTTAAATTTGGGGAAGGAATTAATGGAGTATACATTTAGAGTGATATCCTTGGCAAATGTGAAGATTTCTCAGTATTCTTTCAAAAGTGATCTGAGATGCTAGGGTATCTGTCGGCTTTGTAAACTTGTTTATTAGGATGTTATATCATTATGCCTTATGCAAGTAGGATCTTGACTTCGTGTCTGCCACTGTTGGAACCTGAGCTCATGCCTGTCTCTTGGTGGGCAATGGTTGTTCCTTTGCTTGAGATCTTTGCTGCTCTTTCTTTCTTTCTTTTGCTGGTCCTGGGGCTGGAACTCTGGTTCTAGGCACTGTTCTTGGGGCTCCTTTTGATCAAGGGTTGCACTCTACCACTGGAGCCACAGCGCCACTTCTGGCTTTTTCTATGATTAATTGGAAATGAGAATCTCATGGATTTTCCTGCCTGGGCTGGCTTCCAACTGCAATCCTCAGATCTCAGCCTCCTGAGTTGCTAGGATTACAGGTGCAAGCCATCAGCTCCAGGCTCTTCTGCCCTCGCTTCAAGATATTATGCAAGCTCCTTTTGATGTCTTGCCAGCTCCCTCTGGTTTCTGGGCCCTCCTTCAAATTTATGGTCTCCCCACTTCTTCGTGTTAATGCAGAGCCTTGATCTCACCCTCTGTTGTGACACACTGTTCCCGCTTCACCGTGGTTCTCCGTGCATCCTGTCCCTGAAGCTCTGTGCATGGCGTCATAACCTTGTGCAAACCTCGCCTTGGCTGGTTGTTTGTTTATCCAGCACTTGTTTGTGGGAGGCCTACCGTGTGTGAGCCTGTCTGCTTGACACGAGGCGTATCCAGATGAAAGATTAAGCATGCGCATCAATATTTACAGAGCAGCCATGATGAATGCATAAACACTCATAATTTGTCTTAGCCATTTTATTTGTTTTAGAAAAAAAAGCCATCATTTGCCCCAGAACAGTTTAAGCAAAATCTGTACTTCAGATTAGGATCATTGGACTGAGCTTGGCTTTTTGCAAGAGTCCACTTCTCCCCAAACCAAGCAGGGAAAGAAACAACAGGAAGTTCCTTGTCTGCTGATGTCACATAAATAGATTACACACCGTGGAAAAGCCTTAGCAGGTCCTGGCTCTCACATTGAACCCACAGTGTAAGTCAACTGAGGTGTTCAATTCGCTTGTGAGGAAAAGAGACGTCGTGGAAACCTCTAGAGCATTTTGGCACACAGACTTGGAGTAGAGCCTTTCAGGGTCACGGGAGACAGCACTGTCCACACTGAAGCCCCCCTTCCTCTCCTCAAGGCTAGTGAGGCCATGGCCAGGCATCGAAAGTTCCAATGCCAAAAGCTACCTAGCGTGATAGAAATGTGTGGTTGTGGGATTAGGGGGAAGGGGGGGTGAAGACCCTCCCATGGGGATTCACTTCCTCTCCTGGCCACTTCCTGTTGTCCCACAGTTCCATTCTGCTTGGGTCCCTGCCATGAGTGATCTTTGCAGTTTTCTTCTAGCAACAATTACATAGGTCACAAAGTCATCCTGACCCTTGCTGGGAATTCCCAGAAGGCTTTCCAATCAACAGGAGGAAAGAAGGTGGTTTAGTTATTGGGCCAAAGATACACATTTCCTTATGCTCCAGAGAGTGAAGAGTTGGATCTCAAAGAGATCAGATGAGAGCAGCATTCTTCACAGTAGCCACAAGGTGGAAACAACCCAAGGGCCTGTCGGTGGGTGCGCAAGTTAAATGCAGTACGTGCATGGTGGAATCCTAGTCAGCCCTAAAGAAGCGAGTTGTGGCACATGCTGCAGTGTGTGAGCATGATACCAGATGAGACACGTCAGGTACAAAATGGACTCCACTTACTGAAAGCTCCTAGAGTAATCTGATTCATGGAGCCAGTCTGCACTTTAGCAGGCCATGGACAGGTGAAGATTTGGAGACCATTGTTGCCTCAGTGTGTACAAGGAAGGTTAGCGTTGCAGTTGTGATGAGACTTAGTCGTGAGAGACCCGTTAGGAAGCTAACACCGTGAGGGAGACGACCCTCATCCCACCCGAGGCCAAGAGCACACAGAAGCGTCCTGTCTCCATGTCTGCTCTGTGCCGGATATCATCGTCGTTTTCGTTTTGTTGGCCTAATGGGTGTGAATCCATTTTTTATCATTTACTTGTTATTTTATTTTTGGAGTGGCATACATTTGTAACATGGCGGGGTCCATCCTGAGAGTTCTATTATAAGTGCACATCGTGCACTTTGAACAAGTTGGCCTTTCCAGCAGAGTCCACTCCCCCCCCCCCTTGCTTCTCTCCACTTTTTCAAACAGTATTTGGTGGTGGTGGTGGTGGTGGTGTGTGTGTGTGTCTTTCCATCTTCACTTCTCAGAATCCCCTGCTTTCTCCCTCCCTCCTGTTGACCTCATAGACAGCCCATCTTTTCCATTCATGTCACCTCCTCCTCCTCCTCCTCTTCCTCATCATCATCATCATAGGTCTATACTCCACAAATGAGTAAGAAATGTGATATTTGTTGAGCTTGGTGTATCTCATTCAACATGATGGTCTCCAGGTCTAACCACTTCAGTACAGATACTATGGTATTTATTCCTCTTTCTTGCTGGTAATTCTCCAAGGGAGATGTGTACCATAGAGTCCTATTCTTACAGCAGTTGCTGGGCACTTAGTTGTTGCACAGTGTTGGTCTGTTGTGAACAGGGATATAATATATGCATGCAGATGTCTTTCTTGTATATTGATTTACTCTCCTTTGGATATGTGCCCAATCGGGGTATTGTGCAATCACAAGATAGATCAATTTTTACGTTTCTCAGTAAGCTGCATACCAGTTTCCATAGTGCTTATACTCATTTACAGTTCCTCCCTTCTCCTTCTCTCACTCTGCATTCTGGCCAGTATTTATTGTTTTGTTTTCATTCTTTTTTATTTTATTAAGTAGCTGTAGAAAGAGGCTTCAGGTCCATAAGTCAGGTTATGAGTACAATGCATCTTGATCAAGGCCACCCCTTCTATCAGTCCCCCCCCCCCCCGTTTGTCCTCTCCCATCTACCCTCAACTTATATTGTTTTGTTTTCTCGATGTTTACCATTCTGGGCAAGATGGAATCTTAGTGTAGTTTTGATTTGCATTTCCTCTACGACTATGGATGTTGAGTATTTCTTTTTTTTTTTTTTTTTTTTGGTCCGGTCGTGGGGCCTGAACTCTGGGCCTGGGTGCTGTCCCTCAGCTCTTCAGCTCAATGCTAGCACTCTACCACTTGAGCCACAGCGCCACTTCCGGCTTTTTCTTTTTGCTTATGTGGTGCTGAGGAATCGAACCCAGGGCCTCATGCATGCAAGGCAAGCGCTCTACCACTGAGCCACCTTCCCAGCCCCGAATATTTCTTTATATATAAGCCATTTGTATTTCTTTTTCATAATACAGTTCAATTCATTTGCATAGTTAATAGTTTATCTATTTGCTGCTTACTTGTTTGAGCTCTGTATATTTTAAATTATTACTCCTTTGTCCATTGAATAGCTGGCAGACATTTTTTCCCATTCTTTGAGTTGTCTTTTGATTCTGGTCATTGTTTTGAAGGCCACAAACTTTAATCTGATGCAGTCCTTTTGTCCATTCTGGATTTTTTGTTGTGTTTTGTTTTTGCCAGTCCTGGAGCTTAAACTCAGGGCCTGGGCACTGTCCCTGAGCTGCTGTTTGCTCAAGCCTAGCACTCTACCACTAGAACCACAGTGCCACTTACAGCTTTTTCTGTTTATGTGGTGCTAAGGAATTGAACCCAGGGCTTCGCACATGCTAGGCAAGCACTGGACCACTGAGCCACCTTCCCAGCCCCCTTTTTGTCCATTCTTAGTACTTCCTGTGCAATTAGGGTCCTATCCAGAAAATGATTACCATACCTATATCTTCCAGCATTTTTCTGTAATTAAATTTAAAACTAGATAAAATTAGAGATGAAGGTGGGATTGTCACAAGTGAAAGAATACTTTGAATAAACTGAAATAAAAGAAATGGATATGTTGCTAGATGCATTGGAAGCTATCAAAATTGAACCACAAAGAGCTAAGAACCACTGAAATAGGTAGCTTATTTATTTATCTGAGATCACTCTAGGTTTCTTGGTTTGGGTTGTTGTTTTATTTTGTTTTATATGTAGGCATTCATGGCTATAAACTTTCCTCTAAGTTTGCTATATCACAAAGGTTCTGGTAGGTTGTGTTCTCATTTCTGTTAGATTCTAGGAACTTTTTCACTTCTTGTTATAGATCTGTCTAAGACTACGTTAGTTAATTACCAGCCACATGCATCTCAGTGTTGGATCTGACATTAGGGATCCCATTTCCACACACATTTTTACTTATTTGCCAAAAAAATTTCCCCTCTTGAGATTGTTTTTTCATGGTATGTGATTTCTCATAATTTGCTAATGTGGATAGATTTCATTGTCCAGTTTTCCAATAAGGTGTTCAATTCCAACAACATTTAACATTTGACAAGATTTTCTTTTCCAACAACATTTGTATTAAAATAACAATTCATCCTGCATGCATACACGTGTACATGCACACGCGCGCACACATACACACACACACACACACACACACACACACAAAACCCTCATTTCGCCATGCTACTTTAAAACTTGCACCAACTATTGAGTTAGGAATTCCTATTCTCGTGTTGTAAGACCATTAAAAAGCATTGTATAAATGTATCTTTTTGAAATTCTGCAATGGGTACTTTTTTAAAATAGTCAAGCAAATGAGCAGTCTGTTGGTTGGCTGAACACCTGAGGCTTTATTTTTGTTTCTTGATATCTGATGTGGCCTAAGAGTGATAGAAAAAAAACTTTGATGAGGGAAAGGGAGAAAATCCAAAATGAACTCGCTACCTGCCTTTTACACCTGCAACCCCTCTGTACATCACCTTTCTAATAGGAAAACAAAAATTTAAAAAACGAGAGAGTGATTAAGTGCTGCATTTGCTAGGAAAGGACTCAGGTAGGAAAATTTTAGCCAACATCCAAAATGTATGTTTTCCCTTAGTTTTCCAACCAGCTTAAAGTTAACAAGTTTGTCCTTCTTCATGTTTTTACAGCTTCCCATTGTGGAAAAGATAAGAACCATCGCCCAAGCTGTCTACGGAGCTAAGGACATTGAAATATCTCCTGAGGCACAATCCAAAATAGATCGCTACACTCAACAGGTAAACAATAATCACCTTGGGTTCTCAGAATTCTCCCCTTCACATGAGTCCTGGTGGCGTGCGTCTCACGGCTGAACTCTGCGTTCTCCACTGAGCTACGTTCTAGGTTTCTACCTCCATGTCTACCATGAGTGGCACCCATGCTCAGATCTGTTGTATCATCTGTACTCATGCCCACTCCTCCAGAATCACTGAATCTCCATGTACAGCCTGGGAGTCTGAGTCAGGTGACCCGTGGTGCTTCCTCGTGACCATGGGCCTCGGCCATAGCACTGCCAGCATGCTTCCAGGCCAGGCCAATGGGGGTGTATCATGCACCAAGGAGAATGGGGGGTTCTCCATTAGCTTGTGGCCACAGTGGTCTGCAGAACTTGAAGGCTCCATTCTCTTCTACCTTTAGAAAGTGGCAAAAGTAAATTGGTGGCAGCCTTGGCCCAGCAGCCTGAACAACACGGAGTCCTGCCTGTCCTGTGGTCCCATCCTGAGCAGGACCAATGACTCACTGGCCAAAAGGTCCCTGCCTCTTGTGGAGTAGTAACATGGAAGTCAGAGTGTATGTCAAAAGCTTGCTATCAAAAGAGCTTTGTTACAAATAGCACTGATTGTTTAAATTATTTCCCAACTCCTTCACTCTATTCATGAATATATTTGACATTTTGTTAAATACTACCAATGCTGAGCAGGGTGTTCTCCAGGTTTGGTAAAATTATAGGAAACTCGTTTTAATTGGCAGTAGCCATATTTACGAGTGTGTGTGTGTGTGTGTGTGTGTGTGTGTGTGTGTGTGTTTCGTTATTGTTTTCATTCCATAGATTGAGCTCAGCCTCATACGCTACCACTGAACTATATTCTCAAGCCATAGCTGGCCAGAAATCCTAGTTATTCAGGTGGCAAATATATGAGGATCGAGGTTTAAGACCAGACAAGACCAGATCAGATAAAAAGTTCAGAAGTAGTAAGGCTGTCATCTGTGCTGTATAGGAAGCCTATGTGGGAGGATCTTCGGTCCAAGCCAGGCATAAACATCAGACTTTTATTTGGGGGGGAAAAAAAAGAAAAAGGCATGGAGCATGGCTCAAGTAGTAGAACAACTGCCTGGCAAGGCATTATTTTATTCGTCTTAAAATACTTGAATATTGGGCTGGGAAGGTGGCTCAATGGTAGAGTGCTTGCCTTGCATGCATGAGGCCCTAGATTCAAATTCCTCAACACCATATAAGCGAAAAAGCTGGAAGTAAGGCTGTGGCTCAAGTGGTAGAGTGCTAGCCTTGAGCTGAAGAGCTGAGGGACAGCGCCCAGGGCCAGAGTTCAAACCCCACAACCGACCCCCCCCAAAAAAATTGAATATTGTTCCTGGAGGAAGTAGGTTTGAAGCTTGCCTCCCAAGTGATGGCCTTGCCCGTGTGTGGACCCACACTGGCCATGCTTTCCTTGGGGTGTGTATGGTAGAAGTTGAGGTCCTCATGCTCACCAGACAGGCACTCTACCACTTGAGCCATGTCCTTAACCCTCAACTGGGAAAGTCTGGATAGCAAATCTTGATCAGCTCATAGAATTATTTCACTGTTGAGTCAAACTTCAAATTTCTGGGTACTGTTTCTCAAGAGCAATTATGATGTTTCCCTCAGCAATCGCCGGTGTTTCAGAAAGAGAGAATATACTCTCCCGGACACCCCCCACCCACCCCCAAACCCCAGCACATAATTGGCAATTCTCTAAAATAATGTTCCAAGTAGTTTTAGAAATCCTCTGAGGGTTCATCCCTTGTATCTGTCTGGTGGCAAGGGGCTGGTCCTTACAAGTTATGTTCCAAGAACGTGGTTGCAATTAATTCACCAAGTCTCTAAGGGAACAGTGTGTGTCCCCCAGCCCCAAGCCTGCTTCAAAGACACTGTCCTTTTTGTGAGACCCCCCACAAGTGACTTCCTGCCCTTTCACCTTTGGAACTCTGGGTCAGGCATAGACTTTGGTCCTTGAAAATAAGAGGCTTAAAAAGTGACCTCATCTTAGTTCCTCTCATGTAATTGCAGATCAAAAAGCCCTGATTCATAATCTAGCACAAAGGGCCCTTTACTTCCTGACAGGCTCCAAGAACAAGTGAGTCACGTGACTTCGGGGCCTCATTAGCAGCCTTTCTCCAGATTACCTTTCTGAGTCCCAGATATTAATAGCCCCGGAGAACGGGCTCTACAGCTGCGCCCTGCGTGGTGCTAAGAATAGCCCTGGTTTTCCCACACACAGGGTGGAAAGTGCCCTCTATGAAAGAGTCTTCCAGAGAAACATTAGACTGTGGACCCTGCTGCATAATGACCACGGAGACATGCATGTCCTGCTGGTCCACTTCCTGTTCCCAAAGAAGTAGTAACAGCAGGTGTACACGCATGCGCCTAAACCCACCCACGACCGCAACAGGCGGGCGGGCATCGACGCCAGCCAACATGTGGCCTTTCCTTTCTTACAGGGTTTTGGAAACTTGCCCATCTGCATGGCCAAGACGCACCTTTCTCTGTCTCACCAGCCGGAAAAAAAAGGGGTGCCAAGGGACTTCATTCTGCCCATCAGCGACGTGCGTGCCAGCATCGGTGCGGGCTTCATTTACCCTTTGGTGGGAACGGTGAGTGAGTGACAGAGGCCCAAAGCCTCTTGCTCTCCGCGAAGCTTCCTACACCCTGTGGCTCTTTGCACATTGTGCAGTAAGAAGAAATGAGTGGTGTTTGCTATTTTTCTTAACACTGATTGGAAGGGAGGGAGGGAGGAAAGGAAGGATGGAAGGAAGGAAAGAAGGAAAAGAAATCACGGCTGTCACTGGCATTTAAGCTCACACTGTTTTTTCAGGTCATGTTTTCAGTACGCACCATCCTAAAACTAAAGCCCCTCCTTCTGCATTGGAAGGGCTCCGTCCGAGGTTTGACTAGAACAGCGGGTTACTTTTGCATCTTGCACTGAAAGTGACAGTATGGGGTCCTAAACAAAGTAGAGGCAGCTGCTCTGCCACCCATGAGCTGGAGGACCGGCCTCTCGCCCTCTGCCTCCCTAGGCAGCATTGTGGGGCCTCGCTGGGATATGAGAACAGCACACACAGCCCCGTTTGACAGGGTGCCGTGGGGTTCCATTGCTCTGCAGCTATCGCCAGTACTTGCAGTTATTTCTGGGGACAGGAAGAGCTGGACAGAGAAATAATAGTCATGGGCTGGGAAGTGGCTCAGTGGTAGAGCGCTTGCCTTTCATGAATGAGGCCCTGGGTTCGATTCCTTATCACCACATAAGCAGGAAAAAAAAGCCAGAAGTGGCACTGAGGCTCAAGTGGTAGAGTGCTAGCCTTGAGCTGAAGAGCTGAGGGACAGCGTCCAGGCCTAGAGTTCAGGCCCCACACCAGACCCTCCCTCCCAAAAAAAAAAAAAAAAGAAAGAATAGTCACACAGACCAGTCTTCCCTTTGGTGGCCTAAATTTGACTTCCTGTGATGGACACATACCTAAAGTAGGTTTAGAGGAGGGGAAACATTCTAAGTCATCATTACTATCATTATTGTTGCTACAAACTGATGTGAACCCAGACAGAAATGTAACGATAACCTCTTATAATGAGTCATTGTAGCTCTGATATTTGAACAAGCAGTGGATCTTCCCATGATGCACAGGGGCTTCTGAGCGGAGCAGGGGCGAGGCACAGAGCTGTGAGCAGCACACAGACATCCAGAGCCTGCTGGTCCCAATGCCCTCAGACCCGAGGGGCGCACCAGCCAGCCCAGCCCCGGGAGGAGGAGGGAAGATACCCAAGTGTTTGTACAGGGCGACAGGGCCAGGCCTCCAAAGTGGCAGAGTGGGGAAGTTCAGATCAAAGGCATAAAAATACACAATGCTCACGCCGCAGTGCCCCATGGGACTGGACTTAACGGGAATAGGAGCCTGGGAAGTCGAATGGGCAGGACAGACCTGGTATTAGAATGTCAAGTGCCAGCTCAGAAACTTGGCTTTCATTCCTACACACTGGGGAGCCCCTCGAGAGTGGAGATCTCTCAGTGGGAGGGTGAACAGGTGGGCTGAGTTGTCTTTGAGCTGTGGCAGCAAGGTGGAGAGCGTTAAATCCACGGGAGCCAGAGGTACCTCAGATCAGCAGTACATTTCCAAGTGCTGAGATTATAGGCGTGTGCCGCCACTCATGGCTCTGAATCCTATTTCAAAGATGGCTTCCTACAGTGGGGACAGAGGAAAAGGACTGTTCCCACTTGGTGGCTGGGGGTGGCGATATTGCCAGTTGTGTAATGAACACAGGAAGAAGGCAGGTTGGCAGAGCCTGGGGTGAGAATTTAAGGGTTAATGGGGTGTACGAAATTGTCTGTGTCTAGTAGAAATACAGGCACAACCGTGAGAAGAAAGAAACAGGAAGGCGACCTCGGGCATTTTAAGAGACTAGGGCAAGTGTCATGAAGCGAGAGAGAAGGCAGGCCAGCCGGTGAAGGGAGGTGCTCCTGCCGATGCGTCAGTGGTCCTCGCTGAGGACGAGAGAAGCAGCCAGGCCATGTGGCGGCAGTGCACGCACTGGTGTGTTCAACCCGCTCTGTCACTCCAGGGAGAAGGACTTGACTAGCAGGAGAGCTGGGTGGCGTGGTCACAGGTGTAGCTCTGTTCTGTGGGCAGTCAGTCTGGGAACTTGAGCAAGCCCTTGGAGTGACGGAAATGCTCACTGTGAGATTTTGCTTATGCCATCACTATATATGTTTGCCAAAACTCATACATGTTGTGTGCGGTTCAGGTATGCCTTAATTAACTCATATGGGGACAACACCGTGGTGTGCGCCTGCGTCCATGAGAGGCTGAGGCAAGAGGTCCCTCAAGCCCAAGAGTTCAAGGCCAGCCTGACCAATGTAGCAAGACCCAGTCGCAAAAAAGGGGGGAGGGAGGGGATACTACAAGGTGCCAGTAGTAATGAATGCCCATAATCCTAGCTACTCAGGAGGCAAAAATCTGAGGATTGAGGTTCAAAGCCAGACAGACAGATCCTTGAGATTTGAGATTCTGTCTCCAGTGAACCAGCAAAAAGCCAGAACAAAAGGTGTGACCTGAGTGATAGAACATTAGCCAAGATTGAAAAAGCCAAGTGACAGCACAGAGTCCTGAGTTCAAGTCCCAGTAACTCCACCCCCACCCCACCCCCCACACACACACAGAGTGAGTGCCGAGAAGAGTGTCAGAATTTTGGTAGAATTTTGACTCCGGTCAGCCCAGGCTGTAACTGAGGAGCAGAGCATCAGCCAGGCTGCAGGTCAAGAGACTGGACCAGCAGGGAAGACAGGGGTGAGAAAGACACCCAAATGACAGAAGAGGACGTGGAGGCATCTCCGGGGAGAAGGGAATCTCATTCCCACTGTGTCCTGACTTACATTGTATAGATTGGAAGTCCCACAGTAATTCACACGGAGTGCATTCATTTATTCATTCATTCAGCCCAGAGGCACCCACTCTGCTCTGCTAACAACTGGCAGAGAGAAACAGGTAGAGTCCACAGAGAAGCTGGTGTGCCAATTTGACGGATGCCGTCTTTCATTTTTCTCAACCTCTAATAATAGGCATTAAACAAGTCACAGTCAATGAAAAGCCTTTGCGATCACTGAATGAATCTCTCATAGCATCTCCTCACAACCAGTGAACACCACCACACCCCACTGCCGGGTAAAGATCAGAGCTGTTCTGAGAATCTGAATTCCCTTGGCTTGTGTCTGAACACTGGGCTTCCTCCTTCTTCCTTACCTCTGTCTGCCATCTGACTACGTAGACAATAAATATGTGGGTGGCCCTGGAGTGGGGGGTGGCCGTGAACCCTCGGGGCTCAGCAGGTCCTCACACCATGCGTCAGTGCTTCCGCTGGTTTGCTCCAGGGAAATCCTCCTCAAACAATCGGCCTGGGGAGTGAGGAAGGAAGTGAGGCCTGACAGGACAAGTTCCTGGAGGTCAGGAAACCTTCACTTGCTGCTGTGCCAGGATAGGAAGCCACGTGGGGAGCCCGCACATACACCCATGGAGGCCAGGATCTCCTAATAGGGGCTGCTGTTTAAGTTTCCTTCATCCTATCTGGGGGCCCTGCCACGGACTGCTGGAATGCTTCTAGCACTCATCAGCCCTGTGACAGACAGGATAGCAATTTCCTGCCTAGATGACCGAGGGGGGAGGGGATGAGGGCCTTAAGTGGGGCCTGACTGCTGCAGGTGAGAAAGTTCTAGCGGAATGAATCACTGCCACACTTAGTCACTCAACGTGTGATTATTAGAGCCCCCTTAAGATATATACCCATGTATCCACTCCAGAACCCACGTCCCAACTGACACTGCATTGGCCATGCTTCTGTAGTGTCTGTTTACTCACTCATTCGTTCATTCATCAAACTTCTGTGTGTTAATTTTGTACCCATACTAGGGCTTAAACTCAGGGCCTGAGTGCTGTTCCTTAGCTTTTCACTCAAGAGTGGCATTTTTTCTACTTGAGCCATACCTCTACTTCTGTTTTTTTGCTGCTGCTGCTTTGAAAATGAGTTTTATAGACTTTCCTGCCTGGCTGGCTTCGAACTTCTATCCACAGATCTCAGCCTCCTGTGTAGCTGGGATTACAGGTATAAACCACCTGTGCCTGGCCAGACATTATTAAATATGTCTATGCTCAAGGCCATAAACTTAGTGAGGGCCAGGCGCTGGTGGCTCATGCCTGTAATCCTAGCAACTCAGGAGGCTGAGATCTGAGGATCGAGGTTCAAAGCCAGCCCTGGCAGGAGAGACCATGAGACTCCTATCTCAAATAAATCACCAGAAAACCGGAAGTGGCGCTGTAGCTCAAGAGGTAGAGCGCTCGCCTTGAGCTGAAGAGCTGAGGGACAGCGCCCAGGCCCAGAGTTCAAGCCCCACGACTGACAAAAATAAATAAAATAAATAAACTTAGTGAGGATGAGCAGGAGCCTGTGCGGGCCTTCCCTAACAGGCCAAGGGGAAACTGATCAATAAAACCAGCCAGATACATACCAATGCGGAAAATCCTCCCTGGACAGGCTCTGAAGAGAGAGAGCCCTCCTCCCTCCCTTCGCTACTGCATAGGTCTAAAAGTAGGAATCCCAGAATACTGTGACTTTCCTGACTGGCTATGGTGGGAAAGACATGGAGAGTGCTGAGGAGTTCCACATCATCTCTTAAAGTCGGCCCTCTAAATGCTTTTACTACTTTTACTTCCCATTTTTCTATTTTGTGTGTGTGTGTGTGTGTGTGTGTGTGTACTCATATGCGCACGTGCCAATACTGGGGCTTGAACTCAGGACCTGGGTAGTGCCCTTTAGCTTTTTTGCACAGGCTGGAGCTGTAGCAATTGAGCCACAGCTCCACTTGTGGTTTTTTGGTGGTTAATGAAATAAGAGTCTCTCGGACTTTCCTGCCCAGACTGCCTTCAAGCCATAATCCTCAGATCTCAGCCTCCTGAGTAGCTACAGTTACAGGCACAGTCACCAGAGCCAGCAGCATATATCCTTATAACATGAAAATACAACAAATAGACCTAAGTTCTTAGGGAAAAAAAAATACATACTTTGTGGGTTGTGGGGCTTGAACTCTTGGCCTGGGAGCTATGCCTCAGCTCTT